CAATTGATGTTCAAATATGCGTATGGCATTATTATTAGTAACTAACCCATCTCAAATTGTAGAATGTTGATATATATTCGTCACAAAATAAAACATCCTCATCAAACACTCCCAGTCACACACACACACACACAAATATTTTTTTAGAATCTAAACCTCTGCGTTTAACAATTTAGTTTGATGTGTTTGGACAGCAATGCAAATACCACCCGGGGACCTGCCGAAAGATTTCTTCGCTGACAAGTACTGTACGAAACAAAAAAAGTATGTAAGTCCTCTGAAGCATAAAGCATAAATTAGAACCACAGCCATAGTGATACGCAACTGTTTGTATTTTAGTATATCTAATTAAATACAAATTGAAAGCTCTAGAATGTTCAGCAATCAAAGCATTTTATCATCACATCAATAATGAAACCCAGTATCTTTTCAATAAAATAGCTCAGACCATCAATCAGTAAAATTGACAAATTATTGGGTCCCAATATTCAGAAATTTTCATTGACTTAAATAAATTAGGGGCAACGAGTTATATATAAGCCCCGTGACAATTTTCAATACAGATAATGGAACGTGAAGAGAAAAACGATTATATTTTATTTCGCAATGCTGACAGATCAGAATAGTTGCCGACACATTTTGCATTTGGAATAGTTTCGTTTCAATGTGTTTAATCTCACGTATACATTTCATTCAAAAATCTTTGTTATTCTAATTGATTTCAGCACAATATAAATGTATTGATCAAATAGCTCGAAAATCACAAAGGATGTTTACAAATGCCACACATACAATATCAGTCTATTTGTTACGTCTTTCTCGAATGTATAACGTGTGTTTATCCGCACTTGGTAATTGTTCCGGTTGCTATGGAAACTTGTCCAAAATAGTAGTTTACATGGACAATCAGTTAATTCTGTCGGCATAAATTAAGGATGTACTATCTCTTGGTAATTTTGTTGACATCTTGTAGGAAAATACACAATCATTATATTAACTTATTGAGATTACATGAAAAAGAATACAGAAAATGTAATATATTATTAAATTTAAATTTAAATTTTGCCTTCCAATTTTGTGGGTATTATCCAATGCATTTTTTCTGAGGCAATGAGCTGTTAAATATTTAAGGCCAGAGATTGAAATGTCGTGGATAGCTCTGCTCGAAAACAACATTGGATATATCGTTTTTTCTACATAATTACGTGTTCAATCATTATATTAGACTTTTCAAAATTGGAACCAATACGGATACTTTTGTAATCCAAAGTAATTTCGATCTCGTACAGTACCAGAAGCAGCGACAAACTGCATCGATTTCCCAACTGCCTAATATGCACTGAGGCCTGTTTACTTTTCTAATTTAAAAAAAAACTATATATCTTCCTTGTGAAGGTAATGTTATGTACACATTGTTTGTGGAATATCCTTGTCCTCGTATCGAGTGTGTATATAAAGCGACAAAAGAATCATTTCAAGTATTCTAATAGTGACCAATAAGGTACTTGTGAAACATTCCGGGTTTGCAATACTTTTATTTGCCATGTAAATACATGTATTTAGAGGGAAATGTAACACGTCTTAGTCACTATAGGCAGGTTTTATTTATATGTAGGTGAAAAAAGACAATGATATAGAATAAAATCTATTGTGACTTAATTAGTCGTTTTGGAAGTACAATGAATTGATTGTCAATATTTAAACTAAATCTGTTCGAGAGACATTAAGATTTGACAAAACACACATTTACATAAGAGTTATCTCATTCTGATCCAGCCAATCATGACCATGATTCAGCTCGGTATCGAGAGTTGATTGTATCTCAGATGCTTTTAAAACAGTGTCATTCGCACGATATTTACATTTCTCTTTAACATTGAAGGATTAATAATATAAATAATAAATATATATAAATATTTATTATTTATATTATTAATTTTCCTAATGTTATAGAGAAATGTAAAATGTTGTCAAAGGCATCTGTGAGATACAATCTACATTTAATTCCGAGCTGTATCATTGTCACAATTGGCTGGATCTGAATAAGCTAACTCTTATATAAATGTGTGTTTTGTCACAAATGTCTCTCGAGCAGTTTCAGTTTAAATATTGACAATCAATTGACCTTGATGCAATTTTATCATTTACAACCTCCTGACGTTACGTCACTTTAGTAAGAGATCCGTCGCGTATAAACAGTTCACTGTAAATCTTGGCAACACATTAATGGTTTTCATTAAAACACACCGTTTTAATTGATAACACACTGTTGTATTTAAAAATATGTGTATTATATAATAAAACAGTAGTGTTTTAGTATTTTTAGAAAAGTGTATTAGGGAATTATTAAAACACTTTTTGATGAAAATTAAGCACATTGTAAACACACAAAAATACACTTTTTCAAAATAAAACACTGAGTATTTTATGGGGTCATTGAAGCTTTTATTGATAGAACATTTATGGATTAATGCGTCCAACCTTATGCAAACAGTATTAAACAATTGAGTGAAAAGTCTGGGTACTCGTGAGTAAACATTAATGGTATATATGCCAACTAGACAATCACCGAAAGAAACGTAATTCAACGCATATTGTGACAATACTTTCAGAAAATCATTTTATGTCAAGCACCAACCTATATGGTCTCACCAACCTAAGTATAACTAGAAATCGAGACACGTGGTGAATTAAGTACCTCGTGGCCTAACGGATTTTATTAATTCGCAATTGGTGGACGGTAGTTCCAATCACATCCTTGCATTCTCACAAGTGATTTAAAAAAAATTCTCGAAAAGAGTAACTAAAGAGTAACTTTTCACAAGAGTAACTAAACACCTTTCTTCCAAACTGTTTTATTTTGAAGCACCTAACAAAACAAATACACATACAATGTTTCAACCCAGAACACCCGAGTGTACATATGCAGGACAATGTTGTATGCCGTCCACAGTACACAGTACTTATTAGCATGTAAACGACCGTGTCCACGATGAACACTAATGTATGTTACGTGTTCAAGTAACTTGTAACTAGTGTCGTGCGCACGCTTATTCATAATTGAATTATGCTATCGTGAGTATGTGAACAGGTGGCATATTCGTTATGAAGAACAACTTGAACCGAATGATGTCTTTTTTGAATTTCTGAGGGAAAAAAGGGTATGATGCTTTTGTTAATTCGTTACGAAGCGTGAAGAAAGTGTAATTGATAGAGCCAGCGTCGGCAGTTGTGTACTGTGATATTTGCAGCGGCCTTCATTAATTTCTTTATGTGCGGGATAACTGATTAAAATCAAGTTCATGCATTTACTGGACCAGAGAATTCATACTTCATAATGTCCATGCCGACATCCCCCAGAGACAAGATCTGAGTTACCAAATACAATCATAGAAATGTTGCAGAATTTAACAGGAAAAACAATAATGATAATAATTTGAACATCGCTCACTGGATGTTGATAATATTATAATTTTCAGATTTTAAGAGAAACGATCAGAGCGGACAAAATGATACTGTTAATATTCGGAATTAATTTTGTCCTGCTAAGATTATTGTTGGTTCAGTGCCATAATACAACAGAACACATGATTTTAAAAGTGATGAAAATAGGCCATCAACCCATTTGACGGATATGTATAGATTCGAGAATTTAATGTGAATGGAGTTGCAATAAATTAAATTAATGATTTTTTTGTCCCCCTTTTTTACCAGGAATTTGATGTGCCCGGAGAGACTGCATTTGAAACAACAATACCACATGGGAAGAGATTGGGCATTTTAATTTATGTCAGTGAGGAAAGAATGCAAAGATGTTATTGTTTGTTGCAGTTCATTACTCGTCTGTTTTGAAGTGTCAATGTTCTCAAATATTGGGTATTGTATCTACGGTTTCACGAAAGTTTTGAATTCCAGTAAACATACTTATTCAGCTGCACATAAGTCAAGGACACTTCTTCGTGCGATTGATATCTTTTACAACAATTATATATGTCTTTTTTTCAAATGTTACACTCGAACTTACCTTATTAATGTTTATATTTAGGAATACATACTTACTTGATTATGAGATTTGTTTATTGAAAAACGCTTGATCATGAAACGCATCATTTGATATATTTTGTTTTCAAAAATGGTAATGTTAATGATTGTTTACAATGTTATCAGTGTAAATACATTTTAAAATGTGTCTCTTTTACGAGCACTTGTCAATATTCAGTTTATGTTTTACTTTTCAATCTGTTGCGGTGATAAACACTTTTTCAAAACTTGTATTTATCGGAATTATTTGACCTGGTCTTCATGTCAGTTCTTTTAACTATGGTATTGCGTCTATTTATATCGATCACCAACACAATAATATCAGTTGACAATCAGGTAGCAAACAATAGTTTTCACACATTAGTCATTCGTTCAGTCAGTCAGCCAGTCAGTCAGTTAGTTACTAGATTTATTTTGACAAATATAATACCGGGATAAATACATGTTATAATTTAAAACGCTTGGACAACCGGTAAGTTCGAATTGCTAAACAAATATTCATTAAAATCGTTAGTCACAATTTTAGATATTCGAACCTGCCTGTAGAAGTTACATTCACTTGGATGTGTATCACATTTAATATGCGTTATTCACGATCAAATGAGTGTGAGTTGAACTTAATTAATTAAGAAACAAATTTTCACAGATAAACACACAGTCTATCCGCTTGCACACAGACGTGTATTATTTATATTCTGAACAAGATGTAATCGCGCCCTGACGTTTTTTCCCACATATTTCATTTTTTACGGTTACTACGTCGCGTATGTACACGATATTATACGCGGTAGTATTATAATATCTTGTTACTATGGCAACTGCCCCGAATACGCATTAATCATACAGATGACACATGCCTTGTGCAAAGTCACTCTACTTCTGACTCGCGACACTTCCGCTATCGTGTTCCTGTGAATGGCGTAATAAACAAGAAAACAGCATTTATTCACGGGGCATCAATGTCGAAGTACGTTCTCTGTAGATGTGGCGGGGAGGTGGTAGAATGTCCATCGTATAAAGAGATATCCATGGAGTTGTTCTGCCAAGATGTATACAATATATCCAAGGCATTTAACACATATGTCCAGCAGTACGTGAATTTCAAGAAAGATATATCGTTCTCCGGTCGCGTGTTACTCGCCGTAGTGTTTTCTGTCGCGATCTTATTAGCCTTGTGTGGGAATCTTGTTGTTGTAGCTACCCTTTCAAAAATTAAAAGACCAAGAAACAATATGAACGCTTATCTGATCAATCTGGCCGTAGCTGACATAGGGATGGCGATCATTTGTATGCCGTTCACGCTTGTTTCGATCGTTTTGCAGGAATGGGCATTTGAAGACATACTTTGCCCAATTGTACAGTTCAGCAAACAGGTATGATATTTTCCTACTGCCGCCGTTGAATAAATACATTACAACTGTGTAGTTTGATTTAATTGTTAGCTATGATCGTTAATACCGTATAGACTAGTCAGGTTACTCGTGTTTGGGAATTGAAAAACAAACAAAATTATTCTTTCACACAATAGATAATTATAAAAGAGTCGCCAAAGGTTAATGGTATGTAATACTAACCTTTACGATTTTCAATTGTTTTAGTATGCCAATTACATAGCTAAGTTGTGTATTATTAATTATTATTAATTATTATTAATTATTATTAATCTTTAGGCGAAATTGTATGTACCACTGATGTACTTGTTAACTGATGGAATAGTTCTGTTCGTTAATTTCCAATTACAATTACTTGTTCCCATTAATTAGTATTTATTTATATTATCGATGGTTTAATGGTATTATTCAAACAGCACATGCTTCAAATGGAATGAAATGATTGATTTGGTTGTTTGACTATTTTCTATTTTTCTGTGTCGTATTCAATATTAAGAAGACATTTTAAATCACTGACTGTGCGGCTTCGAGTGGGTACTTCTGAAACGTTTCGCATAATTTTTTCGCGTTTCTCATCAGCTGTTTTCAGTACATGTTTAAACAAAATGTATCGAGTGATTGAATCGTGGATTCAATGAAACCGATCATATCAGGTCATTTACACCTAATCTACTGATGTATATTGCCCTCGTAATACCAAAATAGAGATAAATTACGACTAGGCAGAACATCAAAGATTATATATTGTGTCACGTATAGTCAAGTCATAATCGCTCTCGCCGGTTCCTTGTTTTAATTGTTGAAGGTTGATTTTATTATTCACATGTATCAGTGGTTATTTAATAGAATAGAGTATTGCGTAGTTCATTATTTGTAGACAATATTGAATGAACATATACTAAAGCGAATACATATTTGCAAAGTGTATTATTTATATGAACTAATAGCAGTATTCACTGTAAATAATATTTTTACTTTACAAACATTTATAAACCAGTGTGATTTAAACTAAATTACACTAGTTAGACTAAATATTGAATTTATTTTTTATTATTATGCATTGCAAGAGCGTGTGTTTTTTTTTTCTTTACAGAATTGAATAGTGTAAATATTCAAAGTTGCAAAACAAGGTTTTCCTTAATATGCTGTTGATTTTTATATGTATACATGTCATCTACAGAAATAGCTATAGCGGATATATCAGCTACATAATACATCATTGAAGCGCCTTTGTTATGACTATACAGCACCAGCTGTTTAACAGTTTAATATTGTGTTTAGTTTGTTGAGATGTTATAAATCTTATTCACTTTGCATTTGCCCTCAGGTCTCAGTAATGGTCAGTATTTTCACCTTGGTTGTTGTGAGTATAGACAGATACAGAGCAGTTACCTCTCCATTACAGACGCATATAACTCACCAACGATACCGCAAAGGAATCCTAATAGGACTAACTTGGATTGTTGCCGTATTGTTAAACATTGCAGCACTGGTAAAAGCACGAGCGGTAGACAGATATGCGAACATGTTTACGAACGAATCAAACATTTGGTGTGATGAAGTGTGGTTCGGTGACAGGACGGCGGAAATTGCGTATGAGATGTACATGTCTGCTGTCGTATGTCTTGGTCCTTGCGTTGTCTTTGTTGTGACATATGGAAGCATATCCAAACACATATGGTCCAAACGTGACCCAGGACAGGAAGACCGTAGCGGCGACTCTAATCGTCGGCAAAGCAAAGTAAAGGTAAGGCATCTCGATATCACGGCATCAGGTCCCCTACATACCCAACATGATAGTACTTCCTTTACGAATAATCTGTATTATTGTACATCTGTCATCGTAGCACCGTAAGTTAAAACGTGCTGTAATTTTGCTGTATTTTACGGGGTATTTTCATCCTAACATATTATAATTCCGAATATGGAATGGTTATGCCCGTAAGCGTTCTCTAATAATAAAAACAAACATGGCTGGCACCAGAGTTTGACCGGACTCCGCACAAGGAAGTTCGCTGATTCTGTTCTTAACATTTTGGATTTCCGCATTTACATTTGTATGTGCAATACAAATGTTATTACGAGGATACCTCGATGTATGCACTCAGATATTTTAACTAACAACAACACGGACTATAAATGTTTAGCAAAGTGTTAATTCATATGGTACAATTGTATTCCAAATTCCACACACGTCACCATTGCCAGCAGACATACTGTGCATGTAGCGATAACTTTATGGATTTTAGTTTTTTTGATAATAAGCAGCTTTATATATTCATATATTTTGCGAGTGTATCTACCAAATAATAATAAATTACTGATGTTTCTACTTGTCCACTGGTATATCAAGAACAACAACATATTTCAATGTGAAGTGTTACATATGTTATCTGAGGTAAGACAAACACATGATTAATTTAGGATTAGAATTTGTAGCAGCTGTTCAGACATCGCCACTATCGCTTATCAAATAGTTGTTCTGGGGTAATCAACATACCTAATTAGTGTTGGGTTAAAATATGTTCATATTAAGTTAAGTACCTATTTTGCTCATGGATTGTCATGGATTTATTTCAATGTGTCTAGATACCGACTTGATAGCTGATTTCTAGTGAATAGCTGGTTGATATCATTCGACACTTGCCCATAACCTGTCATCATTTAGGTTTATACAAGGTCCTGGTCGGAACTCGAGTCAGTGATTAGAACTAATTACAGGTATAAACTTTGTTGACAGATTGTTATTCCTGACAGTTTGGTATGTGTAGTCTAATATAGGAAGCAATTAATCAAATATATATGACGTGTTAAGTACTTCGTCGGATTGGCTACATGCGAGTAGAATGTGTACATATGTGGAGGCCACGCCTCGAGCTCTTAAACTTTCATGTAATAGGTTAAAGTTTTGAGAAGTGAGTAAAGAGTCTTGGCAGACAGTTTTTGGGAGTTCTCCGGGAGGCGAGCCAGCTTTGGCGAGCTCTCCACGTGCCGCTGAGAATAGAGAAGTTGACACGATATCTATCTCCGTGTTTGTCTTTGTTTGGTCGAAATGGTTGCTAACGTAACGATCCTGGGTACCTGATATAACGCTTAAGAACACGAGAATTACACCGTTATACACTTATGAAGTATCCTAATGGAGTTAACCAGTAATAGTGGACTTGAACACCGACTGCATTTTGAGGTTTTTTGAAGATGCTCTATTCAAAATATTGGTGGCAAAGTTTTTGTCGGATTAGTCATTATTGTCATCATAATAGAAGGTCCAGTAATATTCCAGCATGTTATCAGAATGAGTACGCATATCATATATCACAAAGATTAGAATCGTCGCATTATGAAGACAATATTAAAAAAAAAGAAACTACAGGTACTACATATTCGTAACTTGGGGTAATCGATTATTGATGTAATATTTTCCTAATGTAATGTTTAAACTATTATACACCAATGTATACGATAGTATCACACATAGTGAGGCATACATGCAGCCTGTAGTAGAGATTATTGATTGTCAGCGTGTGTTGTTTTTATTTGTGTTCAATCATAGACCCTGTAAAAGAGGGATAGGAAACTGCCGGCAAAGATCAAAGTAAGAGGGTCTATGGTTCAATGAAACAATCAAAACCTCTTCTCCAGAAAGCACTCCATCTGGTGAGGTTCATTATCACCAATACTTGGTGAGAGTGTAATTTAATCGGGTGCACTCTGACACAACAGTGTGTCAAAACGTATAAATAACAATTTACTGTGGTAGTTTTAGTAATTCGTAGCGATATCGTGTAATTCGTATAACAACTATTATAATACATTTGCTGAAAACAGTTGTGTTCAGTAATGATGCGTTTTTTTAAATCATTCATCACACAACAGGTGGTATCTGTCCCAAATAATGTATTAACACTGAATTGAAAATCCAAATAATGTCACATTGCATTGATACAAATGAATTAAATATAATGAATGTAGTGCATATATGCAGATTCGATGATTGAGTGAGAATAGGATTGCAATAGAGTAAATCTAGTGAGCATGTTTAATTAATGATTTTTTAAATGTTATGCTCAAACATACCTAATTGCTTTTTTTTATTTGGGACTTTATGATGTGATTTGTTTATTGTATGTTCTGATTACTGTACAATTATAGTGCATTGTGCTTGATCATATTTTGCTTATGAACACTTTCAATCTTTTTTGCATGTATAACGCATTTTTATTTTTATTGACATGAAGTCAAAAATATCTCCTATTTATTTTTGTTTTGCTTTTCTTCCTTGGCTATGAATTGTTGTAGCTATCATATCAAATAATTCAAGCAATCCAAAGATGACCTTTTAATTATTAATTATTCCAAAATCTATTTCTTACTGCTATTTTATATTTACTTTATGTTTTGTATCTTTCTGTAAGTTGTAACTGTAATTAGAATGATTGTTGGGCTATTTTCATTTTCCTAATCTTAATTGCAACAGCTCCTGAAATGTTAAGACTTTTCTTAAACATTCGCCGAATTATGATGTAATTAATTTGGTTCCTAAATCGCCCACCTGGACTTTCCGGTGCCAATCTCCGTCTAGAATACTTACTGAGTATAGAGAAGGCAACATTTGGTCATCTTGAATCAAATTGTCGAACAAATCGTCGTTCCTATGTTTCAAAAGATGTATGAAGTATGTGTGAAAATTAAATTTGAACCTTCCATACACGTCCAAGTTACAAGAGCGGTGGGCACGCATGGCCGCAAAATATAAATCCCTGTTTTTGGACTTCACTCTAACAAGGAATATTAAACAATATATTTGCTTATATTCTAATGCATTATATAGTGTAATAAATATACATATAATATACATACTTATATGGATATATCGCAAAAATAGCAACTGTTGCATTAATTATATGCCATGGGCTTAACACAATATTTAAAAGACATCACCACCTGCAAAACCGTTGTTGAGTGGCTACTCGTCAATCAATTGACTGGTGTATAAATAAGATAATTCATTCCAAATAGTACAACATATTAAAACAAGATACGTGATAACAATACGCAAACCGTGTGATCAACACAACAATCAAGACAATTAATTGCCAGAAAAAAACACAACTCAGTTTTTAAGATAGATAGAAATATTAAATAAGATATTAAAATACGAAAGCCGTTAGTTTTCTGGTCAGGTAACGGTAAGACCACCCAAATGGCATTGTGTACGTGTGGTATGAAGTGGCCATGTGGTTCGAAGTGACTTGGGATAATTTGGTAGAAAATGACATGTTAACGTGTTACTAAACCACCATTTGGCACGAAGTAAATTGGAACGAAATGCTCGTGTAGGATGAATGACCGTGTGGTACGACGTGCACATATGGAACCGTAACCGTCTTAAAGTAAGTGTCATGATTACATTTCCATGTGTCTAGAGATCGGTCACTGATACGACTTGATAACTGGTTTTCAGTGAAGGGCTGGGTGACATCCTTCAACGCTCGCTCGTATCCTGTTATCGTTAGGCTTATACAAAATACTAGACGGAAATCTAGTCAGTGATTGGAACTTATTAGAGATTACATGGGTAGTCTCCCAATATATTGAACAATTAATCAAGTATATTATGACGTGTTAAATACTTCGTGTAATTGGCTACTTAATTTGAATGTGTGGAGGCCACGCCTCGAGATCTTAAACTTCTATCCAAGGTACGGTGGTTTGAAAATTGAATAAAGCAGTCTTGGTCAGTTCTCCACGAGTGACTGAGACTAGAGGTTTACACGAATTCCATCTCTGTGGTGTCTTTGCTTGGTTAAAAGGTTTTCGAACATGACGACCCCGGATACCTGAGATAACGTTTAATAAGAATATCATTAAACCGTTATATAAGCATGTGGTGGGAAGTGCAGTATAAGATGACTTGGGACAAAGTGGTTTTGATATGACGTAACTGTAATGCGTGTGTGTAACATGTTTCTGTATTTTTTTCTTGAATTATATATTTACATGTTATTCTTCGTAGGATATTGCATTGGTTTCCCGTTGTTTTCCGCTGATTTGTTCGAAGGATGTTCCGCTCTCTATGCTAGAATGCCGTTGGCTTATCAAAGCTCATCCTTCCTTCGCTCATCCTTCCTACATGATGTCTAGCCATTGTATACAGAAGTATTAAGTGTTGTGCCCCCTGTCTAGACTACCAAAATTGAAGACATTATTCAGTTTTTTGAATAAATTATCTTTTAAAAAAAGCCTGCAATGCAATTGCGTAAAAATCCTGCAAACTTAAGAGCAGGTCTTTTGAATCAGTTTCAGGACTACCAAAATAGATCATTTTATCAATAAGTAGTTCAAAGTCAATTCCAACTGAGTTCACGTTTAAAACATGATTTCATAAAAATAGTAGTAGTATTCATCAGAATAAGACTAATATAGAACTACCTGTGATTTTCTCACCAGATGATTTTTTATAAATAATTTTGCCACATAAACCAATATAAAAATGGGTCTTATGTAATGATCATATATTTTGATCTTGGGTTTGTGAAAAACACTATGAAAGGAACAAAAATCCGATCGTCTGTTTCTATGATAGTCAAGAATCATGGCGATCCTGGTAAAGTCATATTACTACATGTGAATTCGTGTTATTGCCGTTAAGTAATCAAACTAATCAAACGAACTCATTCAATCTGTCAATATTTTAAATTTTACTAGGAAACAATGGAACAACTTTGTCCATTTGTTGCATTTATTTTAAAATACACTTACAATATTGCCGCGATAGATGCGAGCGGTTTAAACTAGCGTAAAGTAAGCTTATATAAACACGGCATGGAAAGACTTGATGAATGTGGAAACAGCGATTTGTCTACTTTACGATTATATTCGTCTCACACATAAAATACGATGCTTTTTTGCCCTGTGAGACAGTATACTTGGTGAAAGTATATGGCGTTTTATAGTAATTTCACCCAAACGCTTTTAATGAGTAGCCTACTTCGCTCGTCCGCGTATAGTAACGAGTCCTGATACCATAAATCACTACAGACATGGAAGTATAACGACCAGAATAATATATAGAATCACACCACATAAGGACACACGTTTGATTGATTCAAAGTCTCGAGTGGTTCGTATTCTGTCGAGAATGTTATCTTTCCTGCTACGTAGGCGTACGCATTATTGGGTTTGACAGCGCATCGACATCCAATGCTACAACGACGAACAGCAATGATTTATGGTCATTCGTGTGCATTAGACGTAGTGGTGTATATTCATGTAGATTATTTATGTATATAACGGCAGAAATACGCCTTAAACGCGCAACATAACAAGTTTACGTTATATATATATATATTATAGTTTCATTGCTCATCTGTGTGTTATTAACATTTGAGGTGGCAAACTCGTTACATTATTTCAAATTTACTTCAGTGTTTTTTGCAGGTAATGTTGAATACGGATGTATGCAAATAAATAAACAGTAATAATAATAATATATTTCTCGTGCAATAACGCCAATAAGTTTTCAATCCAATATTATGTAGTGAAGCAGTCACTGTGTTTGTGTATTTTAATATTCATCGTATTCATCATATTTACGTTCGATGTTTAATCAGTGAAAGACAATTTGTTTGCATTAGAATTGAATGTCTGAAAGACATTTACCTTGTTTTAATATCAAGTGACAGCTAGTGATAGAGATAGACAATTGATTGTTTTTCCAAAAACTTTATTTCAGTATATTTTAGAGATTACCCTCGTTTTTTATATACCAAGCACTGTCCATTTCTATCACAATCGCCATGCACATAAATCTCGAAAAATTAAGCGTTTACAATTGAGTCAAAATGGCAAAATGGTTACCATTCGTTTCATGCTTCTGCAGTGTTGATAGGAATAATGTACACATAATTGTACATTTTATGGTCGCTTTTAGTGATTTAATGTATTTTCATCGTCGGCCATATCAAATTAAAACAAAATGAGTTTGTATTTGCATTATTTATTATAAAGCAAATATCTCATATTGCCTTACAAAATGCTCTAATATCAAAATTATGCAAATCAATACTTGAGTCACCAAAAGAAAAATACACTATACTGCCCAAATTAATGTGTAATTGCTTTGCTCAGAAAACTGATTTAGTCTCAATGTACGGGTTGTTATATAAGGAGATTCTGGATTGCAAATATCAAAGTGTGATATGGTTTTAAAACTCGTACATGTATGTTACGGGCTGTCTAATTGGAATAGCGGACGTCCGCTATGCGTAAAATTAATTGAAGAGTTTATAAATCGAATATACTAGTTTGAGAATGTTATAGGTTATATAAACTAATATACCAGTGTATCACGGTTGCGAATGAATTGAGGCTGTTTAATGTATACAAGCAGGTAAGCTGCTCTAAGAAGGGCCCGTATATGTTCGGTACTATCCTCTACTCTAGTGATCTTGAATAATTGTGCTCAGAAATTCAAATCACGGGTTAACTTTGGTCTCCTCGTGATTGTTCAAACAAAGATAGTGATTCACGTAGACGTGAATTCAGCTAAATACTGACCCTTGGAAACGACGACATCGACTTTTCAGCGTGTTGACCCAAGATCGTACGCGTCATATTAAGTTTGACAGTTTGTAATTTCACGTGTCCGATCCGTACGATAGGTCTGTGTTGTGAATCATAGTTACCGGGCCAACATGTGTTATCATGATTTGCTTGATACTTTGATTGCGATTATTCATTGCCCTATTGCTTTTGTTTAGACGTAAAACAAAAGGAATTTGACGAAATAATGTTTCAAGATATAGGCCAACTTGACTCGTATAATTTATGAGTGAAACGAACGTATACTGGGTAACACTGAGTAACATCTCGTATTGCACGACTCTTCTTCTGTGTTTTTCTTTTCAAATTATGATATACCCCGATGTATAAACATGAAAAGCAAAAACAAATATCCGTTTTAATCGGTTGTTATGAATACGATGAGTTTGCAAAATGTCATCATACTAGATCCTTTTATATAGATCATAGAATAATTAATGGTATTTGTTGTTTCCAGGTAATAAGAATGGTTCTTATGGTCGTGCTAGCTTTCTTCATATGTTGGCTACCGCTCCAGACGCTGCGTCTCGTTGTCCTATTTGAACCAGACTTGAAGTTCGGCGAGAGTGGATGGCTTATTTTAAGACTATATGTATTCGTTTATTTACTGGCTATGTCACACAGCTTTGTGAATCCCATATTATATACATTTCTACATGAACATTTCAAGGTAAGTATTGCTCAAAAATTAAATAATATCGCGAGGTGGTCTAACGTGGTGTATTAATTCTGTTGAAGCATAAATACAAACAGTGTTATCAGGAATTACTTATTAGTTCGAGGTACTGCTGAAGTATAAATAAGCACACGCGAAATTCAAAGTGCAAGTTGACACTCACCTTAGTGCACTACAGTCACCGACCCCGAAACAGTCTTAATGACCGTCAATTGATTATATGAATATCTGTAAGCGGAACCAATAACGGCACAAACAGCGACATATATATAATAGTCAGTATGACCTATCCAGTTATTTTTTTCGGGGACTGAGTACATGTCTATCAGCAGTAAAGCACATCTGAATAGAACTCATGCTGTGACATGACAATTACTATACTTATTAAATCAATTTAATATCAAGGATCACTGATACGTATGTGTTAGTAATATAATATTATTGCATTACTAAGACATTCGGATTAAACATTAATCCCAGTTATGAATATATTTTTGTTCAACAGAAGGATGCACGAGAGGCCTTCATGTTGTACCGACGTTGTTGTTGCAAGAACGATAATGCAATGCGGTCTAGTATAAGAAGTTCCCGCTCCCGCACCACATCACAGTCAAGGATGTCATTCATGAAAGTCTCTTCAAGATTGGATAAAAGAAGCGTAACTTCTTCACTGAGCAGTAAGAAAAGTAATCGCCTGTCGACGTTAGCGTCGATATATATTGGTGTTGTTTGATAATGCTGTGTATATATTTAGTATAATATATATTAACCGAGGCCAAGGTCGAGTAGACCGGGACTAAAAAATGCTCTCTGAGAACTAACAAATATGTTTATCGTCCGAGGCTTGCGTCAATATTTGTATTATTATATCAAATAAAACAAACGAATGAAATGCTGTATTGAAAGATTTCTCCTGCTCAAGTTTCCAATGGCAACATCCAGAATGGTTCGTATGTATTTATATTCCATAATCCCTTCCAAAATTACAGTTATATTCATGATTTGCGTAGGTATCAACTAGCTACGGACGACTACTACCTTTGCTGGGGAGGGGGCAATCGGACCTAAATAAAGCGCAATATAACATATTTCCGGTTAAAAGAACAAAGACTAATAAGATAGAAGAACTAAACGTCGGTATACGACGTCAACAAGTCTTTGAATGCTGGGCAAGTAATCAGCGCTAGCTACGTACACGGCGCGGCCACTACGGTCTTCCCGACCGATATTATCGTGTTGTTCGATCAATTCCTGGTTACAAGTATTCATATCAAACATAACTCGGCCCAAGTAATACAAGATATCTTGTTGAGACGAAAATGTTATAGTTGTTCCACTTTTTCATAAATTACAGACAATTCTCCGTGAAAACGCTGACAAACCTCAATGGCGAATCAGTATTTTTTTGATTTCTTAGATCGATCATAACGTCTACGCAAGCGCAGAAGCCTAATATTATGTCTTTGGCCGGTAAAATGTCAATAGTCAAATTTTTCGACCGCTGAATGCGTAAATCTGGCTTGCTGTTAGTTGAATTAGGTATGATTATGTAATTTATTCGGTTTAAATTTCCTGTAGTCATATAGAATGAAATACCAATGAACTGTCTATCAGTAATTGTTACGTAATTTTATATTATTGATAACATTACATGTATTGCTTTGAGTAATTTGTAGTGTTTATAATTGTTTGAATATAACTTGTAAAATTATTATTAACAAAAGCTGTAATTGACCTTCCCTTGCACCCGAACAGTCACATATCTAATTTATTATTATATTTCCTGCAATATATATGTTATATTCTACTATTTATATCATAACTGTATGTTTTGGATTCCTTGCCATATAATAGTCGTAAAACGTTCTCTTAATATGTTATAATCTAGTGACCAATGAATTACTGTAATTTGATGTATAGTCATATCATTACTACATTGCGTTAATCATGACATATATTCAAAACTGAATTACATTCGAGTAAGCGCATCCTATCTTACATATAAAAATAGATAAATAGTGTTAAGTCAGCGTGCATGAATATCTGGCTTTCACAGATCACTATTGCGATATACTTGTTCATTACGTTATCGGCAAACATGTAAATATATTGATGATATCATCGACGTATGAACAGTTATCACTGAATCTTAATGTGAAAAGAGCCAAGATGCCCAAGTTTTCATTATTGAATTATTGATCTATTCACACGCTGTCAATTTGCTTTTTGTTAATACACATTAAAATACAAATATAACCAATTTCGCGTATAATTCCTGCTGTAATTTCCTGTCTGCTGGCTAGCGGCCTAAATTACATCATGAATTTAATTCGCTTGATCTATTTACCTAGCGCATGAATCTAAACGTAACATTTGGGACTCTTATCATGTTTGAGTGAGATACCAACTCATCAAGAATATTATATTACCATATTTCAATTTCATTTTATGTACATGTTTGTTTAAAAAAGCAATAAACAACGATGTTGACAGAGCGCGTACAGGACCCATTGAAGTCTTCTTCGCAGCAATTGCTATTCGAAACCGTTCCGTAATGATACTATAACTTTGTATAACAAAAATTTAAATATAAATGTTTAAATTAAATTTTATATAAACCTCACCATACCTACATCCGAACATTTCCCTCATTATCACATATTGATCACGTTGTTATATTGATCGCTATTGTAAATAGTCCACCTATATGTACTCAACATGTGTAAATATACCGGATTAATTAGCCATGGTCTAACAAGTGATACAGTGTTTGAAACACAGTCGCGCCACCAGTTTTTTCTCCCCGCTTCGAATAGTGTATTTAGTAATTTAGTTTATTACATTTTATTTAGATTCAATAATACAGTAATACTACTGGAATTGTTTATTACTGTATTATTTCTACAATCACTGTAATTTAAAGATGATAAAATTGTGTGCATAACGATCTATCTTTCACATTAAATCTATTCATTTTACTTTTAAATCATGTGTATGACTTTTTCACTGTTCGCATTGTTGGTTGTAACGTTGTATGTACGAGTGGTATTGCATTCAAAGAATAGAAATAGGATTTTGCCATAAACTACAGAGTGACGTGTAAACAGTGCACAATATGTTGTTAATACATTTGCACATGTTTATAGGTACAGCAAGATTAAGAAAAAGTATCAACAATGGCAGCGGGTCTAGCATCAAACGATTATTTATTGGTTCTTGGTACAATAGTTCTGTTAAATGTTACTTACTAGTATTACAAAATATTTTGGACAGACTCATCTATTTTACGTGGTTCATTTAAAGGTGTGCATATGACAGAAGGACATGGCCTCATTCTGACGTTTGCGAGGGCGAGGCATGTATGATGTGATGTATCATGCGGTCGTATTTTCACGAGCGATGCAAATGAACATAATAATTACATTTTGGGCACAACGGAAATACTAGTACTCTCCCCTGAGAGCAAACGGTCGTACAAATATGGGGTTTTATGCCTAGCAATACTAAATCGCATAATGTTCCCAGGGGTGAAATAATTGTCAGTTATGGATTTTCATCACGAGAAATAGAATCCGTTGCATACTCTATACATTAGGAGCTGCAACACATTGGTTCTGTAGTATTCACACCACACATTATAAAATACTAAATTCATCTTACATCAGCTATTTATTTCATTACTACACCAACGATATGTCTAATAAAGACGATTAGACAACAATAGTAGTGTGTATACTTAGACGGACGCCATATTTATTTAATTTGTGTTTTAGACACATGTTTACAGTAGGAAATGTATAAAAGTTACCATGCGAAATGTAAAGACAACAATGAAATCATCAAAAACAAAATATGATTTTCTGTATGATCCCACCACACACACATAACTAGTTGCTATGTAAAAGTAAATTTCCACGTTCTAATTATACTGAATAACAGCAAATAACAGAATGTATGCATTTAGCAAAAACGCTGCAAGTAAAACTGACTGTGGAGTGAAATCCCCCCCCCCCACCAAGAACGACAAAAACGCACACATACGCGTACAATAGTACGACGTTTCCGAAATGCAAGCACTGGTGAGATATTGAAAATGTAATTGTGATAGAGAGTATATAAAGATGGAACTGCACAGGGCATATTTAGTTAAATTGCGGTACATATTCAGAGGTTCAAATATAAAGGGCAGATCATTAGCACTGCTTAAACTTGAGATAATACTCAATATGATCACGGAGGTTTTCAGTAACGACTTTTTATTTTTTGATAGCCCAACAACAAACACAATTTATATGACCCACAAACATATTTTGAACAGTAAAGTGGTACACGTTATGGTATTTGTTGTGCTCTTTTGCTGTGTGCAGATAAAAACATTGTATTGTTGTTAATGCGTGTTTTTTTATCAGTTGACGAATGTGCGACAGAGGCTTTTGGAGTTTATTGAACTCTTAATTCTAGCAGTGTAACTGACAAAAACGGATGGTTATGGTGTAGTAATGTAGCTGTTTATTGACATGACGCACCATTAAGTGATCCAATGGCTCTATAGTACCTCTTGCGATAGACAGTGAAATCCAGATTATAAGTTAAGTTAATTATAAATTTACACATTACTGAGGTAATCACAAGCGGATAAAATAATTAGGATGTATGGCGAGCACAGTTACCTCACTATAATACGTAGTAATCAAATAACCCCGTCAATTATAATTCAACAAATTCAACTATTTGCATATATGAAGGGTGGTATCCTCTGAACCCTAACGCATTAGATCGGGATTAGAAGACCCATTCAATTAGCTAACATTCAATCGAGAAAACAATAACTGTGGTACTGATATAATTTCCCAAAATGCAGGTTTAGTTGATAAAATAGCACATTTGTCAAAATATTAAACAGAATATTTATATTTGAGTGGCATATATGGTCATGGGAATTCTACAAGCATACCTTTGATGGAAAATCACTTTTAGCGTGTGATATCGCACTAATCTATTCAGTATATACAACATCGGGAAATGAGTTTATGAATACTAAATTTGAAACCTTATTAAAACTTCCATTCAATCATAATAATGTATATATTTTCTTGATTGTTGAACGTGAACTTAATAAATACTCTGATTATAAGGATGTTGCACAATCGCTATACAGATGTGATATTTCCACTGTAATTTTAGCTTTACCTCTGGATGTCGCATAAGCTGCCAAAGACTTGTTACCTAGTAATTACTTATCTCCAAGTAACTTGTAATTATTATCCTTGAAATTCAGGTTAGTAATTACATCAAAAAAACTAAAACGATGTATTTAGGGGGAGAAGCGCTCTAATACAAAAGCCAAGAGCAAGACCGACAAAAAAACAGCTAATACCTCACATATGGATGAACAATGGAAACGAGGCTTTGAAGGTCAGTTAAAAGAAATCGCCGACAAGCGAGAAGATTATCTACAACATTACGAGAACCAGCTACAACAGTTGTCCGGCTGGCGACACGACATGTTTAGAGACCAACGCAAACCAAGTCAACGAACAACAAAAGCAAAACACGAGTGAATTCAGTAAATTCCAAGATACAATAGAAAACATAAAGACACCGAGAGAAGAAGATGTGAGAAGCGTTCAAGAGTACCGAACAACAAGAACCGTAATCACTACAGGTATACCACAGCCACTACCCTTCAAATGCCCGAATATGTCAAAAAATGGTTAAGCCGTTTCAACAACTACGTGGAAGTCAACGATCTCAATGGTCCACACGAATAGCGGCCTTTGCGCTTCAAAACGCAAATTATAAGCAAATTATAGAGCACTGCGATGACCCAGAGAAACAGATTTTAACATCATTACCATTTCGTACTAAATTACTTCAACTGATGTATCAGAATTCCAATATTGTATATCTATATAATGCTATGGTGACACTGATCCATATATTTTAGTGTGATACTGTGCCATCTATTTGCATATATACTTGAAGAACAATCTCATCACCAGTGGGTGACATCAGTAGTGACATTCCGGGTGAAGCTGGTGTTAAAATCATTATACAGGAAGTGAAAGGGAGCAATGTCTTCACAGTTGCTTTAACATGAATGAATAATATATTTATCGATTTTCAAATTACAAAATGGATGACATTAATATGCCGAATGGAATGGCACTATTCCACATTGACTGGAAATCAATTAATTATTAGATCCGTTTCTGCGTTCGATGTTTCCATGTCCCATTTCATGAATGATGAATGAATAAATGTTGTGGATAATGAATTTATGTTTTGGAGAAACATGTTGGATACACAATTGCGATTATTATAACAAGGTCTGCCATCAACTTTTCGGTTTATGACTCCGGGAACTCAGTGTCGGAATCGTACACAGTAGTTACCATAGATATACTAGATACTTCTTATCCTGCTTTACCACGCACTTTTACTTTGACTTGGCTGAATAAGAGTTTGGTAGTTCTGACTTGTATTTAGAAAATATAGTGTAATTACCTGAGGACTGCACTGTGATGCGAAAACGTTAATGGAGAAATAAAATTGGGACAGTATTTATTCACGTGACTAGTTAGGAAGGGCACATTGAACACTTTACTGAATAAATGAAAACAATATTTCTGGCAATACCTATTTCGAACTAACAACCGTGTCATAGGCACATTTTAATTGCTACAACGATGTTGTTAATTGAATGGTTCCCGTTATGTTGTATATTCACCTACAAGTGATACTTGCATTTCTTCTAATCATGGTCTTCATTCCAAGTCAAAGTGCAATGTTTCTATCAGAATTGTCACAATTGATATAAACCGGGTACACATACCGTGCTACATGATATACATATATGCAATGAAACCAATCGACGCAAATCAAAAAATAGTATGGAAAAATATTAAATAACCTATAAGGCCACCTGATTACCTCATTCAGTAGAACGATTATTCTTTCAAACAGGTCGTAGTTCTGAAAATCGAATATTGCTGCTTAAATAATATTTCATGTTTAAATAGTTAGGGGAAAATTGTGCTATTCACATCATTCATGTAAGAACAACCTAGTTCTAAAAAAACAGCGTCTACAAAAAGCATCTACAGATGTGTGGAGTAATAATAATTATTAAGTGTGTAAGATGACCTGGATCAACAACTGCTATCATTTTGAAAGTTCGAATTTTAGATCTACGGATACACTCAATGACCTAATACGTGAATTCACGATTTGCATTTGTCAATCACTTGATCCTGTATCATATTTAGTGCGCAAACTCGTTGTGCAAAATTCAAATATCTAATTGAACCTAACGAACTCTAGTGGGGTTGAGGACAAAACTACATGTTTTATGAATGCCAATATTATACTAAAATCAAACTACAGTCTAGATCAATGTTTCAAATCTGTAACTGAGTATTCTCAAGTATGTTCAATCTAATATAAGAAGACTTCCTTGTTCATTCTACATTAAAACTTCGATTATCGAATATCTACGAATTCTGGCAGAATGTCGGAAATAGTAGATTTATATTAGGCTTGGGAGTGTACCATCGTAATCACAATGCGTCCAACGCCCACGAGCCTTCTGCTTTTGTCTTGTTTATTCTTTTTTCTTCTGTCAAAAGGTTTCAACTGCAATCTCCAAACTGTTCGAACATGGGGTTGATATTACAATTAGGGTTAATTGCTATTACATATAGGTTTGATATTACAATTAGGGTTAATTGTTATTAGAAAGAAGGTTGATATTACAAATATGGTTGATTGCTATTACACTTGGAGTTGGTATTACAAGTAGGGTTGACTGTTATTAAAAATTGGTATTACAGATAATGCTGATTATTGGAGGTGATTCTGTTGGCCTGAGACATCGTAATAATGAATACCTTTATCTTGAATTCCCTGATATAACGAACACATATCATGTCTCCCATTCATAACACTCCAATGTATTATGTGTTTTATAAGTGGGCGTAACAATGACATAGTTCATTATATGTCCTCGAAAGGGGTCGTTATAACGAGGTTACAGGGTATTGGGAAGTAGATGTACATGTACTTGTTTCTCGTGTAATATATTAAGTGTTGTTCATATTTAACAGTAACCTTGGCACGATACAGTTTTTGTAGCTCAGGCTCGTGGGACAAAACCTCCATGCATCGACATATTCAGAATATAGAATGATACTTGTTTGCAAACATGAGATTCTTAATTCTCTCATGTAAATTCAATAATATTTTGAGTGTGTGTCAGTTTTGTTATGTAGGTAGGAAAGCTGATAACTCAACATATGGACCCATTGAAATTACTGGTAATAAGCTCGAGCTACGTAACTTTGTGTACATGAAAATTCACTGTAGCAAGGAAGAGAAATAGTATTTGCCATTGAATGAAATGGTCGCACATGTACGATTTTTGTAAAACGTTTCCCGCTAGCGTGTTTACTAAATTACCATTACAAGTAGGAAACAGATGTACAAGCCGATAAGCTTTTTGGCTGTTTCCATGGTGTGACATGAACGTTTATAACTAAATGGTTCGCAACAAACATTCGCAAAAACGTCTTTAGAAGTCACTTAGTATATTACTAGGACGTATTCTGCTGTTACATTTATTATTTGCAACCGTTTTGTGATAGTATTTTCTAGAATGAAGGCAGCATTTACAGTGCATTCAAAGTTCAAAGTTGCACTGGGATTACGTTGATATAGTGTAACAATGTCGGTGCTGGTGATCTCTTCCCAGTGCGCAACTTAGCCAAAATATAAAGCATGATCATTTGAACACTGCTATTACAAAAATGGTAGGAAGTAATAAATTTGAGGCGAAAGTATTCAAAAATCAGTTTTGGGCTGTTGCTTGCAGTGGCAGTGGTGGGCCAGCATTTTTTTCCAATTAGTGACGGTACAACATACCTGTCAAGTATGAACAAAATCAGCCAAGCCAAAAAAATCACAGAGGTGTTAAAAGCTGTTGATGGTGAAAAGTTACCCCAACGTTGGGGTTCATTTACTCAGTAATGAAAATATACATAAAAAAAACAGTAAATTTTTGCCCACACTCAAGCTGAGTAGAAAAAGCTATGTCTGTGCTTTTTAATTCTAGAATTGTGGGGTTACATTTGGCGTGAAGGTATTTAAAAAACAGTTTTTTTGGTTGTTGCTATGGCAACTCAGGCCACATTTTTTTTCCAGATTTCTCCTAATAACTAGGGTGACGTTGTGACCTACCTGCCATGTTTGAGCTAAATCGGCCAAGCAAAAAAAAATCACCGAAGAAATAATACGTGAAAAAACTGGAAATCACACACACACACACCTACAAAAGTGATTATAAGGACAATCCTAGCGGAGCGGATCGCCAATAATAATAATATTATTATAAGAATATTCTCATAGTATGCAGGCAGTACAAGATATCAACCTTCACTGTGCGTCAGTCGATATGAACGCTGTTTTGCATTAATAAATATTGTACTGTTGTACTTAAAATAACCCCATATTGTTTGGCTGATTTCTTATATCGTTAGGAAGTTGGTCTATGCGAGGCATATAAGGAAATTGAATGCTAATATTGCTTCAGTACAGGTTTCACACTAAACATTTAGGTTGGCTACGTCAACTTTTCCAATATTTCAAGTATCCACTGATTGAATCGATTTAATATTTGGAACAATCAGCAATCTTGAATTTTCTAGGTATAATGTTTCATTTTACTGTATCTTTGGTGAGTGGGAAGAACAAATATGAAAGCGTTCAAGCGTATTTATTGTTTGCAATGTGCATACATGTTTAATACTTCTGTAATTTTAAAGAGTAACCAATGTCATTAAATTACAAGTAACCTGTAGAACTCTGTGTGGGTAATATTTTTATATTGATTTGCAGCTAATAGTTACTAAACAATGAGAAATCTATTTGATTGGATTTACCTCTCAGCTGGCTTCACGTGCATAGTTCAAGCCTGCCTAACCGGTGCTTATACCACGATTTAGTTACAGCACCAAGACGGTCTGTGGTTACAGCTTCATGTTCCGAGTAATCGCAAGAAATTGACATTAGAATAGAAAATAAAAAACTGGCACTCCAATGCAATTGATAGCAAGTGAAATTTCGCGTATTAAAAACATGGACTTTGAAGTCACTGGTGTAGGCAATGAATAATTTCAAGTTGGCATAAAGACGAGGTAGTTTATTTAACCAGTGTTAACTAGAAGCTGAAATTATAATTAAGTTCGTTGTCATATAATTTGTTTATTTTAATTTCTCCTGAAGTCAAATAGATTACATCGGTGAATGGATGTTTTGGGTGTGTAATTTACACTGTGTATGGAATGGGAGGGTTGGGTGTCATATAATTTGTTCATTTCGAACTATCATGGAGTCACATAGAATTTCACTTAATTTATTTTCGTTTTCATCAAGCATTACGTGTGAATCAAATTTTCACTGTGCTGTGTCAAGTCTCAATATAGTATGAGGGAAATGACATTTTCATTTTCATGTGTACTGCAGTATATTTTGATTCGTCCCTGAAATCAAAATCGGTATTTCCACA